CAGAAAACAAGTTAGGCTGTAATTTTAGGTTACACAAATGTTTATCAAGTTCTAACAGAAAAGAAAAACTGGTATATAGCCTGCAAAAGCTCAGGCAGCTCCTGATACTAGAACAGTGAGTGCAGGGAGACTGACAGCAGGGGCTGAACCATTACAGAAGTGGCTGCCAGAGAGCTCCTTGCTCTGGTTTATAGGAATGAAGAAAAAGGGTGTGGTAACGACTAAAAAACAAGTGGGCAACGGACTCATTTTAGCTCCTTGTTCTGTTGAAAACCACATTTTGAGACACAGATTTTGAGAGCTGCATTTAGAAATCTCGAGTAATTCAAAGCATGTAAAACATTTCTTAAGAAAAATCAGGAACTATGCACATCCTTTCTTGTCATTTGCATCCAAACACCAACAAAATGAACAACCTCTGAAATTAGTACCCAAATTTAATGTTGCCCTTTGCATCAGAAATTTGGACAAATCTTTGAAACAAACTGGTGAAACCACAGGCTATATTCTTCTGGGTTTTGTGGAAACAGAACTTGACCTTTACATGCAACTTGGAAAGCGACATCTGTGCCTCTACATCATCTGAGCAGCTCTGCATTGGTAAACTCACAGGGAATACTGTGTAGAAAATAAAGATGCACTTTGGGACATTATACAGTGCAGCAGAGCAGACCAATGCAAACAAAGAAGCAAGCTGAGAAATGACTCAGCAGCAAGGATGGTAAAACAGAAGTGTTCTGGTAGCTTGGAAACTTAAATATGCAAACATTTAAGAATGACAAGTAAAATACTTGACAGTCAATATTCTGTAGAAGCAGATGTAGAGAACTAACCGTCTCTTGTGAAAATCACAACTGGTCCCAAGGTGCACGTGAGGATCTACAGCAGCAAGTGATTCATCTTACAACACCTAACACTGTGTTTCCTTTCTTAATTTAACAAGGTCACTAAAAAATCATGGAGTCACGGTGCTCCAGAATTCAAACATGAAACCCAGAGACTACCTAACTCCCAGGTGAACAGCAGCAAGATGCTTGGCTGGACAGGCTTTTCTGCAGACTAAGTCATCAAGGTCAAGGTGGGTTTAATCACTGCACAATGATTTTCAGAGTTTTGCTAGGTGAAACATTAGGAGCCCTACAATATTATGCAGAGAAACTAGATAAGAAAAGAGATGGAGTACGCTGTGCTGCCTATTCCCTCTCCTACCTCTCTTAGATGAGCAGGTTGAGCTTTTTGGAGCAGAATAACCATACTGACCTAACCTATTACAGAAGTTTCAGACACTGGTGTTAAAGCAGACACCTTGCTCCAGATACCAATGAAATTTCTAGCTTCTATCATTACTTGACACAGAAAATTCCCAGCATGTGTCCCAAATAGGCAAACAGGTGCTGTTTAACAGCTTTAAAACATGTTTTTCTAAATCGAGCCCCTGGAGACTATGAATTGAGGTAAAGAATGTACCTCTTCAGTGTACATCTGCTGCATTAGAATAATGATTTGTTTGCTCAAGACACTACTCCACTTGCAGGCACTGTGCTCCAACCATCAGCACCAGAAGAGTAATTCTGAAAGCAGACCTGAGGCTTCTGACATCCAAGTTACCCAGGGAACAGAAACATTAAGACAAACAGTTGTTTTCTCTGAAAGCAAAAATGTTACACTTGTTTTCAGACTTCTGCTCTTGAAGCACAGGAAGTCTCTCCAAATATCATGCAGCAAAATAATCTTTTCATCTCATTTCTTAGTGTCAAAGTCTTGGGTCAGAGAAAAGAGGGGGGGAAAAAACTCCAGCAACAATCAGCCTACTTTGAACATGTCCTCCACAATTTTTATTGCTTCATAAAGTACTTCTGGTGAAACTTAACAAAAAACAATATAATCTCTTAGAATGTGTAAGTGCTACATGACACTTTTGTTATGAAGTAACCAGCAGACACAAAAAGAGGACCAAACTCACCCACAGTGCATCAGCACAGATGCCTGAAAAGGGTTAAATAGTTTCTGGATTAGCAGAGGTTGGAACAAAGTTCCCATCTTCCTCTCCCTTCCCAATTCCTTTCCAGATGAGCCCTCCCTTTGAAAGCCCTGACTATTCCAATACCAGAAATTGACAGAAAACAAAAAAGAAATAAAGAACCTGAGTCCAAATCAATTAACACGCAAAACTTTCTCACTGTCAGCTTAAGAGATAACTATACCCTGTGCTGACATAAGTCAGACTCAACAGCTTGCTAGACTTCTCCAGGCCATGAAGGATTCCCAGTCTTCAGGGCTCTGAAAGTAACCTAGGGAAGGCAGCCTAATCCTAAATGCCTCTGGCTCATGTGGAGCACTCGACCCTTTCATCTTCTATTCTCTGCAGAGATTCCTGCCATACCACTGGCTGCTGCACCAAGCCTCCCCCACCGCTGAGCAAACCCCAGAAAGTGCAACAGGAATGTTGCTTTCCATCGCCCTAGAGGCTAACCAGGACCAGTGAGAGACTGCAACATGGTCACTCCCGGTAGCAGACATTGGAATGCTACTGTTACTCTTTGCAACAAGGAAATAAGGCAGTAAATAATCCTCAAACGATCTTGCCAGCACACATAGGCACGTGTGAGGCCACACATCATTCCAAAAAGTCAGCAAAGAGGTATCTCAAACTAGGCAAAGAAGAGCTGGGGTAAACCTCTAGACTGTCAGTACTGCTGAGAATACCGCATAGCTAGAATTGTTCTGGGAAAGGTAAACATCCCAGCAGAGCTCATAGCAACTTTCCTGTGCTGGGAAAACAGAGGCAGGGCTGCCATTCCTCAGCTTTGTACAACAAAGTGAGTAAAGTCGGGGATTTCTGAGTTTTAGACATCACTCAAGCAGTGATCTGACTGAGACATCTTCTCTTTTCAACAGGCAAGAAAATACCCATGTAGGTTAATCACTAGCTCTAAACCACCATCAGACCAGGAAAGGTCACCTGCCCCTTGTTGCAGAATTGCAGCAGTTTGGATATTCTCTGCCACATACTGCTAAACCTGGCAGCGATCACAGAATCATAGAATCAACCAGGTTGGAAAAGACCTCCAATACCATCAGGTCCAACCCTACCGTGGTTACTAGACCATGGCACTAAGTGCCACATCCAGTCTCATCTTGAAAGCCTCCAGGGATGGTGAATCCACCACCTCCCTGGGCAGCACATTCCAATGCCTGATCACTCTCTGTAAAAAACATGAAGGACAAGACACAGGCACATGCAGTTGAACTCTTGATGAACTCTCAATGGTTGAACTCTTATCTATAAGGGAAAAAGACTTCTTCCATCTCGTTACAACAACGCCAAAGAAACTGCTTCTGAGTCTATGTAGGACAGATTTCATTTTAGGGAGCAGTAACTTTGGTACAGTGAAGTCAATAGCTTAAGAAAAATACATGTTAGTACTTGAGCTGACAAGGAGTGGGCAAGGGAGAAAAGGAAGTACTAAAGGAAGGCAAACTGTGAGGAGGTTTACAGACAGCATTCTGCCACCTATAGTATAGGCAGAGCATCTGTTCTCATCCTTCATGGCAGATTCTCTGAGGGAAGGGAGGTCCTACACAGGTCCAGGTTCACAGTTCTTCCCTTCTGGATACAGCACTCATTTCAGAGTGACACACCAGCATTGTAAGCTGTGTTACTTCAAGACCTGCCACATCTTCAACACATTGCCATCAATACCCAGCAGCATGTCTGTCTGCTCTCCCCTCTCCACCTCAGGCTTTACACATACAGCTTAACTGATCCATCAGTTTAGCTCAGCCCTCTGCTCTGCTCTGCATGGCACCGTGCTTTAGCAACCTTTATCAGCCTTCTCCACAGACTATGTTATAATGTGGGTTTGAAGCCACTAACAGGTAAGTGGATGAAGATTTTCTTGCTTCCTTAACACTCTGGGAACCTATATTATCATAGTTCTCCTATGCTTGGAAATGCAAGTGGTAGTGAGCGCGGGTGAAAAACAGAACTCTAAATCTGAGTCTAATGAGAATTTTAAAGCGTGATTTTATTACATCTGGCCTTTGTTCAAAAATGTGAGGCTAATGACAAGACCTAGGAGACAAAACACCTTAATCATTGCTAGTCATCAAAAAATAAACACATTCACACAAATCACGCCAAATCAAACTGTCCTTTACACCCTGCAAACCTTAAAGTATGTCTCTTCACATAACCCAGCTACAAACAGGAAGAAAAGCACAAAATACCTCCACACCTGATCACTCTTCCAGGCATCCCAAACAAGCAGTGACTCTGTGAAAGACCTCTCAGAATGAGGGATATGCACAGGACATTCAGAGCTCCATATTTAGAAGTCCTCAAGTGACAAACAAGCAGCAGATAATATGTATGGTTCTCTACTTCTCAGCTATATAGATGTGGGTGAAACAGCCTGTTTGCTTTCTTTTATTCCATGGAAAGCCAACAGATGTATTTAATACTTCCTGACAGTAAGCTGCATTCTTAACAGAATGAGAATGCAACCAAACAACTCTTGACCAGTAAAGCTAGCACTGACCATCACACTTCAAAATAAAGGTTACATTAAGCGTGTTTTACCCAACCAAATCGTACAACTGGATTTTAAGTTGGCTTTTGTTAAAAGGCTCTATCAAACACTACACCTACCTGCCCACCTACAGCTATCTCAATACATAGGCTCATCACTGAGAGGGAAAATTCAGTACCTCAGTTCTCCATGCCTGTTTCTCTGAACCCCATGCATCCACACCAGCCTGTTCTTTATGTCACATTTAGCTCCCACCAGATCTTTGTGAGGTTCTACAATCCATTAGAGCAGGAGAAAGTTATTCACCTGCACACAAAAGCTGGTTCCAAGTAGGTGTCAGGTGTCTGTAAGCAAGGACAGATGGGGCAACAATGCCCTCTGATAGGAGTGAGTGCTTCTCCCACAGTGTTTTGTCTGCAACCTTGATTTGTGATTTCAACAAGAGTCATTATCTCAGTCAGCACTCACCTTGCATCATACTCCTGTAGGCTGTGTCTGTGATGGCATAGATATGAGGGGGCATCTCATGTCTCTTTTTGCCTTTGTACATCTCCACTATTTCTTCTGAGTATATGGGCAGGTTCTTGTAAGGATTGATTACCACACAGAACAGGCCTGAGTAGGTCTGCAAAGAAAACATCACAGCAAATAAAGACAGGAATTAAAAATGGATCATACATATTTTAACAGTATATTACTTGGCAAAGCAAACCAACTAACCAGTGCTTTTTTAAGTACTTCTTCCAGTGATGCCATGTGGGATGTTTCCCATTAAGCAATACTGGAATCTGAGCAACAGCTAAAGTCGTATCAGCTGGACCAGTACTCAACTTTTCCAAGTATGCACAGAGCATCAACTGACACATTAGTCACCCTGATACCGCTGGGCTGCTCCCTGGGTAATTAACAGTCCACTAGGACTGGCCTGTCTTCTTCAAAGTTCCTGTATTCAGCTCAAGTATCACTTCAGGGTAGGTGCTCAGCTCTTAGAAACATACATTTCGTTATGTTCTACCTCATGTTTGCTATGAATTTATCTAGTAATTGATCAGCACAATAAAACTTCAAGTCAAAATAGTTACTAAAGGAAAAATAAGACCAGTGTACTGTTGAGAGGTTTTCAAGACTACTGGACTAGGCTGAATACAGATCTGGCTGGGAAGCTGGATTAGATGACCTCCTGAAGTCTCTTCCAGGCTGAACACTTCCATAATTTATAATGTAATGAGAACTAGATTTGAACTGTAAGGTCAGTAATGTAGTATAGAGAGAGTTTTGAACCAATCAATACAGAAAACAATTTTAAAGTATTCCATGCTCTGTCAGCAACATTTGCCAAAGTTTACTTCTAAGTAATTTCAAATGGTTAATTCACTGTTTTATGGCAGCAAATCTTGATTTCTCCATTGGTTTCCACTGGCTTAAATTCTACACTTCTAATGGAATACAATTGACAAAATACTTCCAGTGAAAATATTAAACTTCTTTTTAAAAAGAAAACAACCAAAACTAAACCAAACTTTGAGATCTGAATACCTAGGGGAAAAAAAGGCAAATGAAGTTTTTACTTGCAACGGGAATAGCAGGAGCAGAGGATTCTCAGATATTTCCTAGGTATTTTAAGAATAGCATTCCAAGCCTTGCTTCTGGGGTTTAGAGCTATTCTAGCTCCCTGTCAACTTCAGATGCAGCTGTTTGAAACATCTGGAGATGAGCAGCTTTCTACAGCAACTTGCAGTGCTACCAGAAGAAAATACATTTGGCATTGATTTCTATTGCCAACGTTTCTTCTACTGTTTGCTCAGTGAGCAACGAGTGCTTTGGAGAGGCAAAGAGTTCTCCACAAGAGTGCAGAGAGTACTTAATCAGATTTAGCTCCTTAGCTAGATAAAGGTAAGGATTAGACTGTAGTGATCAGAAGGGCAAAAATAGCTTCCACTACACACAGTTTATGGTCTTATATCCAAGTTTTCCACATGCTGGCTTAATTAGTCTACTCTTAAATGCAGAGACTCAGAGAGTTTTTTCCCCATGTCTTCCAGAAAGCAAGTTTTTTTGTAGAGGTTCCTTTTCCATATCCCAGTATAAATTATCAGGATATGTTTCCAGACCTAGTCCTTTTTTTTCCCCCTCCTCCTTTTTTTTTTTCATTTTTTTTTTCAAATACTTGAGGAGTATTTGAAGAGCTTACAGAAAACACTACATCTCTTTCCAGCTACGAAAGTTGGCTAGAAACCTTTTGGCATAGTACTTCTATAGTTCCAGGAAGCTAAGCTTCCATGAGACATTCTAGTCAGGTTAGGTTTCAGGTAGTGCTTGAAGGGAACAGTTTAAAGAGTCTACGGAAACCAACTTTACAACGTTAGTCCCTTTTGCCTCAGACTGAGCTCTCTGTCAAGTCAGACAGTACTTGTACAGCACAGGACATAAGCTGAAAGTCTGGGTCATGCTCTCTTGACCTTTGACCACACCAGTAGAAGACAGAGGAGGACCAAGAGAGAGAAAGGAGTAAAGCTCCAGAGCAGCATGTTCACAGCACATGCAATACAAGTTCACAAGGAACACAGAGTTTTCTTGTCTGTGTTTGTGTGACTCTTTATGGCTGTGTTTGCTGGCAAATTAGAACTGTCACTTTGCAAGCAAGAATAGTGCAAAGGTCTAAAGAAATCTGACAGATGAGAGCAGCAGTTTAGAAAACAGAAGACATTAATTTCACTTAAGAGTGATGAAGCCGTGAAGCAAGTATGCAGGAAGAAGACATCACCCTCTTCCAGCATCCTGGCTGCTGGGAGAAATACCTAAAGGAAGTTTCCATGCAGTATAATGATCTCGGACGTGTGAGGTGATATTTTTGCCTAATAAAGAGAGGCAACTAAACATGGCTGGGATAGGCAACAGAGTGAGACTACCATGTCACAACTGCTGGTCAAGCCCACTGACAGTTTTATATAGGAAGCAAATTGAGTTGTATTGAGCAGAAGCTGCCAGCCATACCACTGGCAAGACAAGAGTCATCTTCATGTTCCTGAAGCACAAATGAAAACTTACATGCATAAATCCCTGAACTGAACCCAAAGTTCCAATTGCAAGGCTCATCTATTATAAGCAGAGCTGGCTTGGATGTCTGTACTTCATCTCAAACATTACTATCTCAAAATAGAATTCTGGCATTACCTTTCACGAACTATTTCAAGTGACACACAGGCCAAACTGGAACTAGTTTTATTTTTCTAACTGCTAAACTAGCTCTGAAGAGTTGCAAGGACCAGCTGCAGCATGGCACAAAGCTGACAGCATCAGAAAGTTTCTTTTCCAGCAACTGTTAACTTCAATAAAATAACTGGAACACGTAAGGTTGAGTTTTGAGTTTCACATCGAGTACAGAAAAGGCAGTTCAGATAAGCAACATAAAAGGTGAAAATGCTTTTTTGATCAAGGATTCTGAATAGAAAGGGTTAATATCAAAGCAAATCTGTTAGCAAGTCACCTCAGTGCAGAACCAATCCACATATGGAAATAGCAAATTAGTGTCAGACTTGAGCTCTTAATTCTTGAAAAGTTTGACACTCCCTGCTCAAAATTTGTCTGCACTAGCAATGAGATTCCTCTCTTGCTTTTACAGCATGGATAGATAGGAAAATGAAGCAAAAAAAAAAAGATAACTGATTAAAACTCACAGTCCTGCTGGCAAATAAAGGACAAGAGCCGAACTAAATTATGCTATGATCTTTCCAGAGACATTTCTGCTAGAGATGCATTGTGTGTACTCCCTTTCTTCAAGGGGATTAATGATCAACTAACAGCCACTCCAATGAAAGTATTTGAAGCCTTGGCAGTAATCTCCTGACTTGCTGAGAACTGCTGACAGGTGAGATCAGTCCGTTTCACAAGTGTGCAGAAATGCAGTTCTGGCAAGACTAAGATTCTGTAACACAGAATTACTAGACTAGGTTTACTTGGGTGAAGGGTGTGGGGATTTTTTAATACTTCTTACAATCCAATTAGAATTAAGTTTACTACAGTCACAGAGTATATCTGAAATTCCAGAGGATTTCTTGCAAGATATGCGAAACAGCACACTGCACAGTGTGCAACAGACTGAGATACTGCTGAACTATTTTCAACAACCTGTTACATAACCTAGCAATGTTTCCTGTTTTAAAAGTGTTACACATGATCTTGCACATCCTATTGCATCTCAATACCAAGCCTTTTCCCTCTGAGAACAGATCTTTACCAATAGTAGAAGGAGTTGTTAACCTCACAGAATAATTAGCTGCATCAACCTCCAATCACATTAGCTTTCAAATTTGGACATCAGATGGTAGGAGTCAGACTAAATTTATACCAGCTTTGCATCCTGCATACATTCTCTGATAATTTCTGCAGGTTGTCTCTATGCCTTCACACCACTCTGGAAGAGCAGCAGACACAGCATTAGCCAAGCACAAGTTTCTCACTTGTGTTCATGCTACTCAACTTAGAAGGCAACAGCTCACAAAGATTCTCAC